TAATGCCATATTCTATATAACTTATTTTTTTTTCTATTGATAATTTAGAATAATTTAATTACTAAATTCATTTCTCTAACAATTGTTTTCTTCACCTCTATCATTGTTCTCTAACCCATTGATATCGGACTTATTGCGATAAAATAAATAACCCATAGATATCGACTATTACAATATTAGTTATCCAAAATTTCATCTCGCATGAAGAGCAGCAACATCGAGGTCGTTATTTGAGACTTCAAGGTCAAAACGGAAAAAGGCCGAAACTGCGACACATTTGTCTCGCATCCTGTGTAATGTATCAAGAACATCCATTTCAGGCTTAACAGTCACGCAGAAACTTAATGCAGGTGACATGTAATCTGCGTCTCTTGGACTGCGAAACACAAAAAGAACCATCTATCACGGTGCCGAGAACACCAGTCTTGGACAGAGGATGAATGGAGGCGGGTTCTTTTGAGTGGTGAGTTGCGATTCAGTCTGAACAGTGACTGAAGGCACGTTCTCATCTCTCTAGAATCCAGGAGTCGATATCAACCCTCAAACAGTGTCGAAAAGGAACACTAACCTCGAGGTGGTTTGATAGTCTTGCTACAACTATTGATACTACTTTAGTATGTATCACGTTAATTAGAGTTAAAAGCTATGACTCATATTAAAATTAAATTTTAATGATTAAAAATATCTTGAATACAATTGAACAACATTCTAGAATACAAGTGGGGGGTACACTAAGATTACTCACCAGGGCGTCATATCTAAACCTAGTCACCTTTTAACACTCAGGCACTGCTTCAACTGATTCCTAAATGGGTGCACCCCCTACAGCAAGAGGGAACTTCGCCAAACTCACCCTTTGGCTCACTTTATCGATGTTTCTGGCGCACTTACTATTTTGGGACTCCTTGCTCTACATCTGTCTTGGTAAGCATAATGGCAGACAAGCATATTAATGTTCATGTTTTCGGTATAAGGTATTCTGATAGGTCAGCGGTGCCGGGACGAGATTTTTGCATCCTGTGTGACACTTTTCTGTGGAACATATGGATCAATTTTCGTCTTTACGGACGATTAACGCCTATTCACATAAAACTCAGTGGTGAACGAATACCTCCAATCGGTGGATATTTAACGCGTAAAGCAGTGTTTCTCAACCACTATGCCGCGGCACTTTTGTGTGCCGCAAAATTCTTAAAATGTGCCGCCAAATATTAGAAATGATAAAATAAAAATTATAATTTTTTTTTTATTATGAGTAAAGCTTAAATTACTTTTTATAATTTTTCCACGTTTTAACTGCGTGAACATGTTTGTCGGCGATTGTATTGTCTCTGACAATCTTAAAATAAGATGGAAGTGTTTAAATTGTATATGACACACAATTTTAAAAAATGTTGTAAGAGCTAATCATTAAAGTAAGCTATGCAATTAATAAACAAATTAACAAAGGATAACTAAAAAAACAAATATATAAAAAACAAATTAACAAAGGATAACTAACAAAAATTAAGCTAACAATTAATAATTAGCAAAAAAACTAGTTAACAAGAAATCACAAAAAAATAACAGTTAATAATTATAGAAAACAAGCTAACAATTAATAACTAGCAAAAAAATAAATAACTGTTACTAACTAATAAAAAATTGGTCGAAAGAAATAATTAATCCTTTTTGTTGGTCGAGAAAAATTATTAATCCCCATTGTGCTTTTGTAGTACATATTATTTTATTTCACATTCATAATTATTATCACAATTTATTTAACACAGTGTAAAATAGGTAATTAAACAACTTCTAATCTAATTTTTTTCATTGTGTGCCGTAAAATTTCGAAATCGCTAAAAGTGTGCCGCAACAAAAAAAAAAGGTTGAGAATCACTGGCGCAGAGTGACATGCGATATCCCCGGATTTTAATCCCAACGGACACGCATTGGACAACCTAGGGGCTCAATTGAAACTCAAAAACCAGAAGAAAACATCTTTGCTGAAACAACACTGCACGCTTAAATTAATATAATACTATTTACTTATTTTTCACTACAAAAAAAAATATTGACTGCAATCGAAGAATAAACACATAATACAGTATAAGGCAAAACTTGAAGGTCAGTGAAAAAATTTTGGAAAAATGAACATAAAAAGAGTTTAAATATTCATATATAATTAATTTTTAAGGTGTTTTAAAAAATGAGCAACAAATTAGATTTGTAATTACTAAGTTATCAAAAAAGTAGTCTTTCCAAGTTATTATTTCAATTAAAGTAAAAGCTTTTTCGCTAACATAAAATGTAGCTCACAAAATATTTAGAAGCTTAAATAAGAGCAATTTTTCCGAATTACTTCAAATGTTCTGTAACTAGTTTTTGACTAAGTTCGGTGTCTCTTTCATACATTTCGTCGACGATTGTAGATTTCAACTCTAATAATGATGTAAAATGCCTTCCATTTGCATTAACTTTTCATACTAAGTCAACCCATAGGTTCTATATTGGGTTGAGACAACACCTCCTAGAATAAGGAAGGCCTCAGCACGGATCAATTTAGTAGTCCGATGTGACAAAGTTAACTGCGCAGTTGATGAAAAATAAGAAAGATGTCATTACGTTCGGGGTACTAAGCTGCGCAGTATTTGAAAATACGAAATATGTCATTACGTGTGGACTACTAAAGGATATTTATGGTAACCCGTGCAGAGGCCTACTCTTTTCTAGGAGGTGTTGGTTGAGATCTAGATATTTAGCTGGTCAATTCAAAAAGTATTGGCTTGAAACCAAATTTTTGTATTGTAACTTAAAAGAATAGTTACCTTGCTGTAATATCCAGTTCTTTCCCGTAACTATAATTTTACATTTGGTTTTGCCCATACTTTTTTTCAGAAATAGTTCTGACTATCCTAATATATTATAAATAATATAAAAGCTAAATCAGCCCATTGTTAGCCAAGGGATAACGGCTTTAGCATTAAAGGGGTAATGTGGTCAGCATTGCGCACAAACCACCTTTACTTTCCAGACAAGCTGATACCCATCGGTCTTCAAGCAGCCACTGAAAACTGTATAGGAGTTCTTTACAAGACAGTTCAGTGGCATACACACTGAGGTATTACGGATCATTATCATTAATATTAATATGTAAACTAGGATCTAATGTCTGAGTACAGTATTTTTTTTCAAAGCTAAAGTGGCAACCGAAGGAAATAATCACTTGATATAAGCAAATATATGCCACCACTTTTTTTTACATAGCTGTTTTGCATACCCGGACCAAATTTTTTGGCAAGGCATTAACGGGTTAAAATTATTTATTGGTGTCTTCTTTAGTGTCTAATCATGTATTGGAGTCGAGTTTACTTAATTTATTTTTTCTTATTTTATCCATAACCCAAAACCTGGAACACAAACTATAGTTTGTCTATGTAAATAAATCCCCTAGTCATTCTTCAGGAGTAGTGGCGTTGACTATTGTGATGAGGTTTAACTATTTCAGGTAGAGGTATTGGATCATTATGATCATAAGACATGTTTTAGTTCGGGTCCGCGAGAGAAAGAGAATCAGTGGAGCTATTTCTTGTTTCCATAGCAGCAGACGGCCATAGGCTTTGTGGCTAGGGGAGTTCTTTCTATGGACAAACTATAAAGTGTTCTTTCAGACTAGATTCAGTTGTTAAAAAAGTTAATGGTCCAGATTAATGCCATATTCTATATAACGTTGTCACATTTCATTTGATTGTTCACTTGATATATGATATATTCGTTGATATATTCACTTGATATATTCGTAGTCACATTTCATTTCGTTGTTCATTTGATTTAAATTATTGTAATTTTCAGACTGCAACAGGATACTGACTGAGCTTAACGGCAGTATAAACACTCCAAATTATCCATGGTACAGAGGTGTAACGACAGCAGAATGCATTTATGAAATAAGATTGAGACCAGGATATCTGGTCAATATTACTTTTCACGATGTAGAAATAGGTTACGGTGATAATGATGACTGTAATATAGATTATATACAGGTGAGATTCTTTTTTTTCCCAAATCACTAAAGAACCGGTACTCTTTGAAGTAATGCGTCTCTAAAGAACCGGTACTCTTTAAAGTAATGCGTCTCTAAAGAACCGATAATGATTAAAAATAACGTTTCATTTTTAACTTAAGTAGAGAAAATGGGGATTTTGTGTATTCTATGGTTAATTTGACATCTTTCAGATTTATGCATCATCACGTAAGCTCTACAACGCAAGTTTCGAAGCAACTGCGCATGCTCGCGTATTTTCCTGATACTTATCTTTACGTTATTTGGAGGAGATTAGCGTTATACAACTACAAGAACGAAAGCTTTGTAAACGCTTGAAGATTGTAGCTTAACACAGTGTTGTTTATAACTGTAGAGAAATTGGTAAAAGATACGAATAAAATTTAAAAAAAGGCAACATTATATTAAGTTTGTTTCAATTTTAGTTAAAATATGGGGAAAAATTATATTACAATGAGCCCCTTAGTGCCCCAACAAATGCATCCATAATTTTGCGGCTTGGCTGAGTGTTTAGTCACATACAGTGTGCATGTGTGTGTTCAGTCACACAATAATAATAAATAAGGCAAAAACTATAGAGATATAGTATACAAAACTATAGTATACAAAACTATAGTATACAAAAACTATTTGAAAGTTATAGAGTCATTTGAGAGCAAAAATATAATCTTGTATGTATATCTAGAGAACACAAGGCACCTTCAGAAAATTTTATAGTTTCCTATCGCTCTCCTTTTAAAGGGAAATATTTAAGATATTCTATGTGCCACTTCATATTTTAAAAGGTACATGATGGATGGGATGAGGGACGCTTCGCAGTCCTGGTGCCTAATAGCCAATACATACTAGGACTAGTTGTTTGTGGTGAGGTTCTTAAAATGTTTTCTGAAAGCTTTAGTCCGAAATTATCTACCACTCTAAAAAATATTTTTCAAGAATTGTAGTTGTTGGCAAACCTGCATACGGCTTGATTGGTAAAACTTTAGATTCTTGTTATTTAATAGTTTTGCTTTTAATTGTTTAAAAATTTTCTCCTCCAGGACATCAAACATTCTCTTGGTATGGTGGGCGGTCGAGATCTATATTGCATGAAACACATCTTGTAGAAATAATAAAAGGGCTTGAGAGTTGCAACTGATTATTCATAAAGTTTAATATCTATATTTGCTGATTACATTTTAATTCATGAGATCAACAGCAATGGTGTAGCCTTTATCTGTTTCCGATTCTAGATTCGTGATGGTGACACCGAAAAAAGCCCTCTAATTGCCGATATTTGCGGAAGTATGGAGTCATATTCTGTCAAGTCAACTAGCAATCACTTATGGATGAAACTCAAAGCTGGTTATTTTCTAAATGACGGATTTTATGCAAATTACAGCGCAGTAGCAATTGGTAAGATAAATAATTTTAGGTTTTCTTTTAAAGGGTAATATTTTAAGATTTATTAAATTTAGTTATTTTTATTATTATTGATCTTAACTTTGAAACTTAACTGGTTTTTTCCTCCTTTCATCAAACGTTAGTATTGCTTTGATGTCATTTTTGTATGACGTTACAAAACCTTCAAACTTAGAAATAAAACTAGAATTTTTTTTTTGTAATCTAATTCTGTTACAATCGATTAAGATTCTCTTCAAGTAGTGGATTTAAGGAAGTAACCTACGTCTATTAACGTTTTCATTTTGAAGGTCTCATGTAGACTTAAATTGTTACCGCATATTATTGAAAAATTTAATAATCTGCTTGTGTTAAAAATAAGTTGATCTCGTGTCTTGGTATTGACTTTACTTAAGGGGACAGTGAAGTAAAATTCTTTCAAAAATTTGATTTTTTGAATTTGACATCATCTATTAGCCTATACTTTTCTGATTAAGAAAATATATAGGTTTGCTAATTTTCATAAATTTAAAGTGCTTTAAAAGCAATAAAACAAAAGTAAACAAAAGTGCCACGCCCACATTTCAAGGTTTCGTTTTCTGTTTACTTTAGAATTCTACTGTTTTTTATGTTTTTTTACATTCTGCCTTGCGCCTAGAAACGAAATAAAGAAAGAAGCTCTTTTGTGGATCGTTAGTGACGGAATCTAACTTATTTATTGATTTATTGAAATTACATGCATTTGCTGACTTGTGTGCTCAATATAGGCTTATAAGTCATTGTCAAGTAGAAAATACAGATAGAACAATTCAGAGAAAGACATCACAAAGAATACATCCAGGGTTACGGTGGGATTCGAACCCGCTACCTCGAGATAAAACAAGTTATGGTGCTGGAGAGCTTTAAATTTATGAATTATTTTTAACTATATGTTTTTTTACCTTTAAATCNCTGCAGCGCCGCCAACAGTTGATACAAACATTCCCAATTGGTATGAGTAAAACTTTTTGAGCTACTCTTTTCAGAGAAATCGACTAAATTTTGCTATCTTTTATAGTTAGTGAGATATGAATTTTTAAAACCCCGGAGTTCTTTTATAGACACCCTGTATTACAATGAGCCCCTTAGTGCCCCAACAAATGCATTCATAATTTTGCGGTTTGCCTGTGTGTTTAGTCACATTCTAATAATAAATAAGGCAAAAACTATAGAGATATAGTATACAAAACTATAGTGTACAAAAACTATTTGAATGCTATAGAATCATTTCAGAGCAAAAATATAAGCTTTTATGTATATCTAGAGAACATAAGGCACCTTCAGAAAATTTTATATTTTCCTATCGCTTTCCTTTTAAAGGGAAATATTTAAGATATTCTATGTGTCACTTCATATTTTAAAAGGTATATGATGTATGGGATGAGGGACGCTTCGCGGCCCTCGTGGCTAATAGCCTGTGGTTAGGTTCTTAAAATGTTTTCTGAAAGCTTTAGTCCGAAATTATCTACCACTCTAAAAGATATTTTTCAAGAATTGTAGTTGTTGGCAATCCAGCATACGGATTGATTGGTAAAACTTTGGATTCTTGTTACTTAACAGTTTTGCTTTTAATTGACTAAATATTTTTTCCTCCAGGATATCAAACACTCTCTTGGTATGGTGGGGGTCGAGCTCCGTCTTTCATGAAATACATCTTGTAGAAATACCCCCTTGTCTTTAAAAATTGTGGGACGGGAATGTTAAATGTCTGGGTTTTTACTTTATAACATAGACGTGCATAAAAGGACTTGGGAGCTGCAATTGATCACTGATTCAGTTTAATATCTATATTTGTTGATTAAATTTTATTTACTGAGATCAACAGCAATGGTATAGCCTTTATCCAATTCTAGATTCGTGATGGTAACACAGAAAAAAGCCCTCTAATTGCCGAGATTTGCGGAAGTATTGAGACGTATTCTGTCCTGTCAACAAGCAATCACTTATGGATGAAGTACAAATACAAAGCTGGTTATTTTATAAGTAGAGGATTTTATGCAAATTACAGCGCAGTAGCAATTGGTAAGATAAATAATTTTAGCTTTTCTTTTAAAGGGTACTATTTCAAAATTTATTAAATTACTTATTTTTATTATTATTGATCTTAACTTTGAACTAAACTAGAATTTTTTGTTTTGTAATCTAATTCTGTTACAATCGATTAAGATTCTCTTCAAGTAGTGGATTTAAGGAAGTAACCTACGTCTATTAACGTTTTAATTTTGAAGGTCTCATGTAGACTTAAATTGTTACCGCATATTATTGAAAAATTTAATAATCTGCTTGTGTTAAAAATAAGTTGATCTCGTGTCTTGGTATTGACTTTACTTAACAGAGGTATTCGGAGTAAAGTGGTTCGGAATATCGAGGACCTACTGCAATCTAAAAATTAATGTCATTCCAAAATTAAAACCTTACAGAAAGTTCAACTTACAATATTTTAATTTGAATAACTGATGCTGATTGCTCCTGTATTATTTCTTTTTTTAATGGTTCATGAATTTTGAGTTTCGAGCTTAAACTCTAAGGTCATTAGAGACACACTTAACTCATAAGTTCATTTTAAGAGTATTGAATTTAAAAAGATAAATAATTTTTACTAGCTGCCCACCAAACAGAACGTGTTTTTCATAATATTGAATAGATATAGATAGTGTCCAATTTATTCTCTCTTACAGTTTCCAGCAAAAAGCTCATAGCGTAGGAAAAATTATTTTGATTTTTATTTATATCAAAATGAACAACAATGAGTATTATTACACCTTTCAGAATTTGTACAAGTTTCAGCTTTCTTACCCCATGTTTTCCGACTAATGCTCCGAATTGGTTCAAATGTGTGTATTTAATTAATTCGTATTCAAAAGTATATGTTTCCTTATGCAAAATAACCTATACCTTTAAGATGACCCCTCAAAGTTTGTTTCGGTGCCGTGGGGTTGGTCACTCCCCACTAATAAGGGGTTGGATATTTTTACGGATGGTTCAAGTGTGGAGTTCGCCGAAGAGACCGATAATGGAAGTAGGATAGAGCACAAGACCGGCTATGGAATTATCATCAAGAGAGATGGGATAATCATTAAGGTGGACTCCATTAGACTTTCCAACAACTGCAGTATTTTTATGGCTGAGCTGATGGCAATTAAAAGTGCATTTGATTGGCTGGCTATATGTGACTACCCGGACGCCACTCTTTTCACTGATTCGCTGTCATCGTTGCAAGCCCTAAGTGACCCAACTCCAAATAAAGGTCTGGTTTCTTAGGACAAGCGCCTTATCTGGGCGTCAGCGGTACGTCAACGTCCAGTTGGCGCCAACAAAATACTGGTTTGTTAGCTCATGGCTTGGTTTCTTAGAACTAGCGCCGTATTTGCGCGTCAGCGGAAAGTTGACGTAGAGCTGACGCCAAAAAATACTTTTTTGTTAGCTCAGCATGAGCAGTCGGTCAAACGCAGACATTATCTCTCATTGCGCATGCGTTAATAACGTAAACAAATATTTATTTTGAATTTGTATTGATTTTGTTATTGTCGACCAGTGTTTTAGAGAACAAATAATGACTTTGTCCAAGAAAAAACACATTATAGCTGAGCTAAATGAAGAGTGCTATGTTTAATGAAGAAGCTATGTTTAATGTCAAAATTAAAATCTTGGCTGATTTCAATGTGCTGTTGGATGTTGTCCGCCATTGCTTCTGTGGTTAACGTCACGTTGTAATCCAACTGCAGTTGAGTTGGACGGCACTTGTAGTTCAAGATGAGCGTTCGAGGACGTATACTATCAAACTCACAAATGGCCCAATCAGAGGTTAACGCTGATTTCCAGCTGACGGCGTCCTGTCCTAAGAAACCAGGCCTTAACAGAAAATACTAAACAACTATGGAGGCTAAACATTACATGTAACTGAGTCAGGGCTCACATTGGTATCCTAGGCAACGAGGAGGCGGATCAGGCAGCCAAGGAAGCCGTCAATCTCAGCCAAATCAATTTAGAGGTCCCAAGTTCCAAGGCCCAGATCAAAACAATCATCAAATCCACCAACCTAAATAGATGGAAATCAGAGTGGCAGAGCTCCGAGAGAGGTCGACAAACTTATATTTTTTTAAAAGACCCTTCCACCAAAACGACTACAACTTTTACCTAAACCAATTACTTACTGGACACAGGGTGTTAGGAGAATACCAAAACTGTACCTACTGTGGGGACAATCAAACAATCGAACACTTGATCATGAACTGTCCATACTTCCAGACACTCCGTAGAAAACATCTTGCAGGACAAAATTTGCATCAATGCAAAGTTGGTCTGTAGAAACATTGTTAAAAAAATTATAAAGGTAACATTGGAGGACATTCTGAACCACATTTAACTCTACTCGGAGCCTGCGAACACTATTGCTGGTGTCTTGTGTTTTTATCTACCATCATTTTAAACTTCTCTAGGATTTAACTTGTATTGTTTTTATCAACTTTTAATTTAACAAGTATTGTTTTTATAAATCTTTAACTGATTGTTTTGATTCTTAACTTGTTTTGCTTTTTAACCTTTATACCAAATTTTAATTTCTAATATTTTATCACTGTTTTGCATGCTTCTGTAAAGTTTTAACATTTATTGGTTTTGGGGTGATTTTGTAACCTTTTTACTACTTTACTATTTTAATTGGTTTACGCTTGTTTTATAGAATTGTTTTATAGAATTATTTTAGATATTCTGATTTTTATACTCACTGTTGATGTAACTTTTAGAGATTTACGTATTTTTAATGTATGTTTTGTGTGTGTATCTACTCTCGTATGCCCTTATATAGGGCGGGGCGAGATACAAATAAACTCATAACTTTAACCCTTTTGAAGGCCGTAGTAAGTATACTTACCACCACGTTTTACCACTTTTAATTTAGGTTTCCATTTTTCAATAACTTCAGCTTTCTTGAAGTGAGTTTGAATAAAATTGGTAACCATTTGTCACCTTTAAAAAAAACGTATAAAAGTTATAAAATACATAATTCCTTTTGAAGTTTGTAGCATTTAAGGAATTTATTTTATAAATAAAGAAAAATAAAAGTCAGTAGGTTGCTAATAGGTCATGTTAAATATATTTACCACCAAAAAAATGGCATTTTTATAAACTAGAGGAGTTTTTTTTTATATTTTTATATATCAATTACTGTTCTTAAAACAATTTCAATTCCATTAATACTTTAATTTACCTTTACTAGAAATAAAGGGCCCGTTAAAGGGTTAAGATAAGAGAAGCTTTGAAACTGCTCATTATTTTAGCAAAAAGTTTGAGCCATATTGTCTTTGTACCAATTATGGACTCTGCTTATGTGAAGGAGCATCATCTTTCTGATATCAAATAGTCTGAGTTTATAGTTTTTTTAGACTCCCCAAATATACTTATCCTAAAATTTCGTCTTTACACACTTCAGAACACATTTATAATGAAACCAACAGAAGTTTTAACCTCTCTTCCCAAAAGCATTTATGAAGAACTTTCATTAAAGTTGAGCACCGATATTTTTTTTTCATGTTTAGTTTCGATAATGACCACAAACGGTCAGTTCAGAGAGCATGGGATATTGCAGAATAAAAAGTTTCCCATGGGAGAAGATATACTCGTATACTGCGTGTCTCGTGAGAATGCTGACATTTTTTTCGAGTCTTAATTTTTATGACAAGCGGTGGATATGTGTCTCTATTTTTTTAAAGCACTTAATTTAGCAAAAAAATTATAGAAACTAATTAATAAAAACTTTGAAATGGTTAATAGAAACTTTGAATACACTAGATTAATTGTTAAGTTAACAAAAGTATTTGAATATAAAATAAATCAAGCCAATCAAAAAATACAACTGTCAACAAACCCCATCGTGTGATTTTTACTTTATTTTATGAGTGTTTCGCAAAATATCCAACAAACCGCTCAAAAAGTAATTATAAAAATCCCTTTCAAACATTTTGTTCTAAATTATCTATGAATATTTTAGAAATCTTTAAAGGGTGTTCTAATGATGACATTTCTAGAAAGGATGATCTTCTATATGGATGATATACTTGGATTTCTAAAACATAGATTCTAACATAGACCGATGCTGCTTCCATATTCATGCTAATATGGGCCTTAATTGCTGGAACCAATAATAGTTCACTACTTTTCTTTAATAAAAATGCGTTTTGATTTTAAAAAAAACAACTACTATACAAAGTTAAATTAATAAATTTGTAGATTGTGATGAATTTTTCTGTTCATCGTTAACGTAAATTATTTCAATTTCAGTGCTAAATCTGTGTAGAGATAAAAACGAAATAAATATCTGTGCACAGTTTTTCTACTTTAAAAAAAAGAAGTTTAATTTGCAAACATCATCTAAAAAAATCTCGTAAATTAGCCAGTAACTCTAAAGTAAAACTGGACGAAGTATTTTATGAGTTACTGTTTTTAGGGATGTTATTGTTGTTTTATTATTTCTTTATTCGCCACTCTTTTCACTGATTNTACTTAAATCTAAATATTGATTGTTTTCCTACTTAAAAATATCCTCATTGTTTTACAATTTTTAAAATTATTATGCCAATAAATATGTTGTTGCCATTACCAGCAAGCCTTGCTTCTGTAGAATGAAGAGAATTTAAAGGAGAGGAATGCGCTCCTTGCTTTTAACGCCATAGATGACCAAAAGTACGACTTTGCAACATGCATACGTTACAACTCGCTTTACAGGGAGATCTCATTCACACATCTCTCATCCATTTGCAGATCGTAATTTTGACATGAACTAGAGAACGATCATTCTCCGATCCAGTAGGAGTCCCCAGAGGTATTGATTTGTTACGGGAACTTAAAAGGACTTTGTGACCCTGACAGATTCAGCGTTCACCGCTCACGATTTTATGCACAGGAAGTCTGCGATTGGCGGGATTCAATCTTGGAAATGGGGTAACGCCCTACAATCTAGGCCATCCCGGCCTATCAATGTATATTGATCTTAATGAGCAGTTAATAAGTATGCTTAACAAAATTGTTTTTATTCATCTTCTCCGTTATCTCCATCTTAATATTATCATGATCTTCATTATTATTTTGTAGCCCATGATGATTGTTATCCTAGAGACAGCTTCCGTTGTGCAAATAACACTTGTATTCCAAAGAGTGAGGTTTGCGATGGAATAAAAAACTGCGAAAATGGTGCTGACGAGCTTGGTTGTGGTAAGAGAATCACTTTTAAAATCAATTTATATATATACAGAGATGCCAACTTGCTCCGCTTAGTAAAATAGTATTTTCCAGTGGTAGCGAAATTTAAGTTACTCTTAGTTTAGTATTTTATCTTTTAAATAATTTTTTCACCACTAAATAGCAAAAATTATACGTATTTTTTAAAACTAGGAAGCTTCGCCCCCTACTCGCTGGCGCTCGCCAACCCCCGGAACTGCTTTCGCAGTTCATTTCGGATTGCTTTGCAATCCGATGATCGCTTTACTCGCTCATTGGATACGTTCTTAACGTCTAGCTTTTGTATACTTATTTGAACACTGAAGTTCCGAAAACTTTTCACTGTAGAAAATTCTAAAAATGTGCATTTCAATATTAATTTGAAATTGCCAACAGTTCACATATTTTTCTTAATCACACTATTCTAAATTTCAGTTGTTGAGAAAAGTAACTGTTGTAAGTTTTGTTTTAAAGTCTTTCCCA